CGCTTCATCCTCAACTAACTTTTATTCACGATACTAGTGTTCTTTCTCAAATAGCAGTCTCTCAACTACCCTAAAACAACTTCTCTCCTACAAAATAAAAGCTAAACTATCCGCTGAAGAACGAACTTAGTTGTCTCGCAATCTAATACTCGAGTATTATTCGTACGATGAATAGATTTGCATTCCTTCTTCCTAACATTCGTGTGTGTGGGTGTGGTTGCAGTATATCTGTATTATATCATCTTCATACATGTGCACCCACCCCTCAAGAGTAACATAAACGATCAAGATGTTCTGTGGTCATTTGTTGACATGATACCGTTGGTGGTTGATATGTTATTGAATAACATGTATTATCTAATATTTAAAAACAAAAAGACAAAATATTATACACCCTAAAACACATTATTTTCTTACCAAACAAAAACTGTTGTTCAAAAGTGAAACCAGCTGATTTTGTATTATTTGATGGAGTATGAAATGTACGATGTAATTCGCCATCTTCATTCGATGATATACCAAGAAATGTTTGATTTAATGTATCACCGTACGTTGCCATCAGATGATGAACTTATAAATTGAAAACAACAGATATAAAACAGAGAGACAATTTCGTTTTTTTTTGTATAGTGTTCCATGATTTATCCATTGGAGAGAGCATAATTAGCTATTGATTAAATATTGACCAGTAATGTCAACAGTCAATTTCAATTGGTCAATGTAATGTAATTCAACTTTTCGTTTCATATAGACTTTTCGGAATTCGATATCTACGAGTTTTTATTTTAGAACATTGTTCAATATCGATCATTAAAAAATATATGCGTGAAACAAGAAATAGTATCAATCCATCTCAACAGCCATTGTTGAATGATGTAAGAAGATAATCAAATTTCAGATGAAATCTTAACTTTTTTTTATTTCTTTTAAGAAAAAGACAGATGTTCTTCAACAGGCTGTTGAACGTGAATATATTAAATTATTTCGTAAAATACATAAAACAACACAAAAATCTATTCGGTAAGTTACTTTGAAAATATAAATTTTCATAGTTCGCATCTTATTCTACTATCACTTTTTTATTTAGTCATATTCTACGAAATGTGAATCAACGTCCACCACTACAGCCATTAACATTTCCTCTCCTAAATTCTTCTATAGAATTCAATACTGATGATGATGATGATAATATTCAAACAATTTCAGTTACGATATCAGATGGTAATAATCAAAAACCACAAAAGAATATCACAATTGCTACCATAATGCCAACAGTATCTGCAATACGAGAATTAATATCCTACGTACCAACAGCGAGAAATATAGCTACGCGTGGTGCTCTCATTGGTATTCCATATTTAGGAGATACATTTAATGCTGAAGATCAAAAATTGATTAATTCAATATCCGGTGAATCAACAAACCAAAACAACAGTTTAACACGCAGTATAATATATTGTCTTTATATATAATAGTTTTGATAATTTTAACTTCTTTTTTTATTAGAAAAAAGACTCGATGAACAATCGTTAGAAATACTTTATCAAACTATACGATCGAATATAGTTTGGGATACATATTCCAATGAGCAAATTATTGATGCAATACTTCGTAAGAAAACAATATAAAAAATTTCAATTAATTCAAATAAGAAATTATATTTAGATTATCATCGTGATATTACACCACGTACAAGACTCATCACTATTGCAAATCAAGAAGAAATTACTGGACATAACAATATTCAGTATCCTTCAAATATTGATATTGATGATCTTATTATAAAACCATAGTGTTCTCGATTTTGTTCACGTTGTTATACATATAAGTAAGATTCATTTGAAATGATATCAGTGTATAAAGTATTGCGATATATATTTTTTTTTCTATAAAATAGTTGTTTATTACACAAAGAAAAATCTTCTCATCTTCCATTACCTGAACAAATTTCTATATGTAATGATAATCAATCATCTCCCTGTAGTTCATCATGTTATAAACATGAACGTGAACATTTAAAACGTTCTTTATCACCACCATCTCATATCAACGAAGAATCTAGTCATTCTCAAACATATCGTTCAATATCATCTGATTTAACTGAAAATGTTAATAAACGTCGACGTAAATCAACTCCATTTCGTCGTATATCATCGTCAAATAAATTAATTTATTCTCATAATGAAAATTTTCGTACTGAACTTTATCTTGATTCTCATTTACAATCACTTGATAATCAAAAAAAATTAACCTCTCAACAATTATTAACACGTATAGAAAATCATATGACTAATCCATCAAAACAACAACAAATATCTCTAGCTAATAATTGGACATTAACTGATCGAACTTTATTTCGTCTATTTTATTTTCTATTCGATGGTGATTTATGTGCAATAAAACAAGTATTTAATGATCATCGAACTTGTCAAGATTTTTATCAGCAATCTATCTTAGATACGAAATATTTCTTTAATCGAATAGTAGTAACAAATAATTTATCATTTATTATACGTCAACCCTATCGACGAAAAATGTTAGATGGTGCAACACGAGCTTTTCTTTTTCATATAAAAAAACATTTAAATAATAGTAATAATACTTTCAAATCAGCATATCAACCATGTTTACATGATGGACCATGTACATTATCGAATGAAAATTGTTATTGTATGAAAAATGGCACATATTGTGAAAAGTATTGTAATTGTTTAATAGATTGTCCACATCGATTTCCTGGTTGTACTTGTAAAGGTGCATGTTTATTAAATAATTGTTTATGTTGTGCAGAAGGACGTGAATGTGATCCTGATTTATGTCATAAATGTGGTGCATCATTATTTCTTAATGAAATCAATGATTTAAATCCAATAATTAAATCGTAAATTGATTTTATTTGAAAAATTAAAAAATAAGACGAAAAAAAAATTTTTATCTTTATTTAGCGAACCAGAAACATCATTTATTGAACGAAAAACATTACCAAGTTTACCTCGACGAAATATAAGATTAAAAATGAATGGAAATTTACCAACAAGATAACATAGTCTTCGGTCATGTCGAAACGTTGAACCATCATATAAACCAAATCGAAGTCAAACAAAACGTACAAGTTCAAGAACATCAATTAATTCAAATATATCATCAAATTTACCAATGATTACATGTGCAGATATTTCATTACAAAGAAAATTATACAAACAAATTCTTATTGCAGAATCTGATGGTAAATTTTTATTTGAAAATAAATTCTTTACCTTTTATTTAATTTTAGTTGCTGGTTATGGTGCTTTTCTTGGTTCATCAGTTGCTTATCCAGGAGATTTAATTGCAGAATATACAGGAGAAATTATTACAGAAGAAGAAGCTGATCGTCGAGGTCGACTTTATGATAAACAAGCTTGTTCTTATTTGTTTAATCTTGATGAAGAACGTTGTGTTGATGCTCGACAATTTGGAAATAAAATTCGGTTAGTTATTACAGACAGACTAATTTGTTTGATCTATTCATATCTTTTTAGTTTTGCTAATCATTCATCAAAACCTAATTGTGTTCCAAAAATAAAACTAGTCAATGGTAAATATATTCATAATTTGACTTAAATAAAATTTTAATATTATTTATTTTCTTCAAGGTGATTATCGTATTGGTATATACGCCAAACAAGCCATATTTCAGGGTGATGAATTATTTTTTGAATATATGTATGATGCACATCAACGACAACAATTTGTTAATAATGAACGTGTTGATGATTCTGAACAAGATGGTTTAATTATTCTAAAACGTTTTCCTGATAATTATATACTTGTACGACCATCATCTGATTAAATCTCAGTTATAATTGCGGTGGTTATAATCAATATCTATTATTTCATAAATGTATTTATTTTTCTTCCTATTATGTCGATCTTTCAACTAAAAGTTTTTTGTTTTATAAAAGAAGTAAACAATGACAAAGTCATATTCATAGTAACGTTCTTTTTTCATATAAATAATGATAATAAAACAGTGTACGATCAAAAAAAACTGTATAGTATCTATTTTCTTGTTATTGTATGTAAAGAAATAAAATGAAAAGAAAGACTTATTTGATTTTGTTAAATTCTCTTCAATTCATCGAAGTAATAAACTATAAGTAACGATATAAAAGGATTTTTATAAGGGTTAACCTAAAGGTAATCAGAGTTGAAGAATTCAAATCTGACTTCTGATTTGTTTAATTATTTAAATCAATAGCTTGGTAGTTGTTTCGTAACGCGATTTCTACGAGAAAGAGCAAAGCGAGTCTTTGAACGAGCGTTACTTGTTAAGTTATATGAACCTCAATTAAATTGCACAACACTCTCAATGTCATTATATATGCATCCGAATAGGATAGAAAGAAGACTACTACGCAAAATTTAAAAGAAAATGTGAAACACGTGAAACAAAAAATTAGTGTACATACATAAATTTTCTTTATCTGATATCTATGACATGTTTATTCTTGATTTTTTTTCTTGTTCTTCTCTTTTCTATTTGCTTCATTAATCTTTCGTTCTCTTATTTCTCTGCCCCTTTATCTTTCTTTCTTTCTCTATAGTTTTTTAACTGTTTTTAAAGATGAAATCATTTATCGCCGCTATAATACAGCGAATTATATGTAGATTTTTGCTCTTAAATATATTTAATGTTTATAGATAGGCGAGTCTGTTTTTTAAACATCCACACCCACACCCGTGATTATTGTAAATATTTGAAATAGTTCACAAGATGCTAGCAATCATAATACGTTTTTAGTGTGCATATTTTATTAGAATCGTAAATTTTGAAAAAAATACGAAAAACAATTGAAGAATATCAAAGAAGAAAAGTAATCAGTTGAATACATAAAGATGATGGTACTAACTAATATATTATAGAAAAAGGACACTAGCTAGTGGATAAAGATTGATTATAATGTTCGATTTTCGGTGTGATGTGTGTTTGTGCCACGTATCCTAAAAAGAAAATTAGTTAGTTAGTTCAATGTAATAAAGTGCTTCAAATGATAATCGTAAAGAAGAATGTACAAATAACGAGACAAAATATTAGAACTTTTTCTCAATCAATTATTATCGACAGACTATTTTGATATAACATACTTGTCTTATTTACCAATATTCTATTCAAATATTGTGTTCCATTTGAAGCCAAGAGTTCGAGTTCATTACATTGTGGAAAAGCATATGACAAATGCATAATTCATACCAAGATTCTGTTCAAATATTCTGATCAGTTCAAAGCAAAGATTTTGAGTTCAGTACATTGTGGAGGAGCACATATCAATTGAACATTTTAGAGCAACATTTTATTCAAATCTATTCTTCACTTAAAACAGAGACTCGGATTTTATCACGTTGTGCAAGACCACATCACAAATGAATAGTTTCTACGAAAATTCTATTCAAATAATTTCTTCACTAGAGAGGAAATATTTGGAGTTCATTACATTGGCGAGGAGCATATGCCCGATGAATCATTCTTAGCAAGATTCTATTGAAATATGTTTTTACTTCAAAGCAAAGATTTCGAGTTCATCACATGGTGAAGGTACCCATAGTAAATGAATAATTCATACCAAGATTCTATTCAAATGTTTTTTTTCACGTCCAAGCAAAGATTTCGAGTTCATTACATCATGAGAAACACACAAAAAATGAGCAGCACAAACAAAAACTCATTTAAAATATATTGTACAGTTCGAATCATCAGTTTCGAGTTCATTACATGGTGGAAGAACACACCACAAAGGAATCATTCATAGCAAGAGTCTATCCAAATATTTTATTTAGTACGAATCAACGACTTCGAGTTCACTACATGGTGGAAGAACGTACCACTAAGGAGTCATTCATAATAAGACTCTATTCAAATATTTTGCTCAGTTTAAAGCAAAGGTTTTGGGAAGATTACATGCTGAACTAGCCCACGAACAATGAATAATTCATATTAATATTTTATTCACATGCTCTGTTCAGTCGAAATCAAAGATTTTCAGTTTCTCACATACTGGACAAGCTCGTACGTAATGAATAATTCGAATCAGGATTTTATTCAAATATTTTGCTCAGTTCGAAGGAAACATTACGAGCTCATTACATGATGGAGAAACACTCAACAAATGAGGAGCTCAAACAAACATTCATTTCAAATATTTTGTTCAGTTCGAGGAGTAGAATTCGAATTCGCTTGATACTAGAGAGCCACACCACAGACGAATAATTGGTATCAAGATTCTATTCAGACATTCTTTCGTGTTCGACGGAAACATTTGGAGGTTATCAAAAGATGAAGGAACAAATGACATACGAATCATTAATACTAAGATCCTCCTCAAATATTTTCGTCAATTCGTAGCAAAGATTCCCAGTTCATTGTATCATGGAGGGAGTCACGAAAAATAAATAATTCACAAGAGGATTCTATTCAAATACATTGTTTAGTTTGAAGTAAAGATTTCAAATTCATTAAAAATTGGGCGAACACACGACAAATACATAATTCATATCAAGGTTCTGTTCAAGTATTGTGTTCACTTCGAAACAAAGATCTTGCGTGTATTACATGGTGAAGGATTACACAGCAACTGAAAAACTCATACCAAACTTTTATGCAAATATTTCTTTCCCTTCGAAACATAAATTTCGAGTTCATTACATGGCGGAGGACCAACCGACAAATGAGTAATTCATAATAAGATCGCATTGAAATATTTCGTTTCGATCGAACCAAAGATTTCGAGTTCATTATATGGCGCAGAAACACACTGCAAATGAGCAGGTCAAACAAACAGTCATTTCAAATATTTGCTTCAATTCGAACCGAAGCCTTTCAGTTCAACACATGGTGAAGGAACAATGAACAAAGGAATAATTCATACCAATATTATATAGAAATATTTTGTTCAGTTCAAAGCAAAGATTTCGAGCTCAATACATGCCGGAGGAAGTTAACGACAGATGAATAATTCATATAAAGATTATATTGAAATATTTTCTACAGTACGAAGGAAAGATCTTCAGTTCATTACATGGTGGAGAAACAAATGATAAATGAATCATTCATATCAAGATTCGACTCAAATAGTTTGCTCACTTCGAAGCAGTCATTTTGAGTTCATTACATGATTGCAGAAAACACGACAAATGAACAATTCATAGAAAAATTCTATTGAAATATTTTCTTCAGTCGTAAGGAAAGATTTCGAGTTTAATACATGGTGGAGAACCAAACGGCGAATGAATCATTCATAAAAAGATTCTATTCAAATATTTTGTTCATGTTCGAAGCAAAGATTTCGAGCTCAATACATGCTGGAGGAATACAGCGACGTATGAATAATTCGTAGCAAGATACTATTCACGTGTTTTCTATAGTTCAAAGCAAAGATTTCAAATTGATTACATGATGGTAGAACACTGGATAAATGACTAATTGATACCAAGGTTCTATTCAAATAATTTGCTCTGTTCGTAGCAAAGATTTCAAGTTCAATACATGGTGGAGAAACACAACGACGTATGAACAATTCGTAGCAACTTACTATTCATGTGTTTTCTTCGGTCCGAAGGAAAGATTTCGAGTTTAATACATGGTGGAGAACTAAATGGCGAATGAATCATTCATAATAAGATTCGATTCAAATATTTTGTTCAGTTTGAAGCAAAAATTTCGAGCTTATTACATGTTGCAGAAGCAAACAGAAAATGAATAATTCATAGGAACATTCTATGCAAACATTTCGCTCGATTTCAAGCGCAGATTTTGAATTTATTAGAGGTTGGTAGAACACTCGACAAATGAATATTTGGAAAAAAAGTTCCATTCTAATTCTTTATCCACTACGAAGCAACGATTTCGAGTGCATTGGATGATAGCGGAATAGACGACAAATGAATATTTGATACCAAGGTTCTATCCAAATATTTTGTTCAGCTCGAAGCAAAGATGACGAGTTTATTGTATGATGGAGGAACAAACGACGTATGAGTCACTAATATTAAGATCTTACTCAAATATTTTGTTCGGTTTCACGTAAAGATTTCGAATTCATTACATGCTGGTGGAACACACGACAGATAAATAGTTAATAAAAAGATTCTATTCAAATAGTGTATCAATTCGAAGCAATTATTTCGAACACATTAGATACTGTAGGAACACACGACAAACAAATAATTAGCAAGAAGATTCTATTGAAATATTTTGTTCAGTTCGAATCAAAGTTCTCGAGTTTATTAGATGGTGGCGGAATACACGATAATTGAATAACTCGTAGAATGGTTCTATTGAAATATTTTAGTCAGCCAGAAGCAAAGATTTCGAGTTCAGTACTTGGTGAAGGCGAACACAACAAATGAATGATTGTCACCAGCATTGTATTCAAATATTTTGTTCAGTTCGAAGTGAAGTTTTCCACTTCATTGCATGGTGAAAGAACACACGAAAAACTTATAAGTAGCATAAAGAATCTGTTGAAATATTTTCTTCTGTTCGAAGCAAAGATTTGGAGTTCATAACGTTGAGGACTGACACAGGACAAATGAATAATTTACATCAAAATTCTATTCATATATTTTGTTCAGTTCCAAGCGAAGATTTCGAAGTGTTACAGGTAGAAGGAACAGGCAACAAACTTATGATTTATAGCAAAATTGTATTCAAATATTTTGTTGTGTTCTAAACGAAGCTTTCGATTTGATTGCATGGTGAAGGAACACATGAAAAATGAGTAATATATAGCAGGGTTTTATTCATGTAGGTTGCTCAGTTGAAAGTAAAGATTCTGAGCTCTTTAAATAGTGGAG